CTAATAGAATCCATCGATTAACAGGCAAAAACAAACATTCACTCTCCTGTCAAAGAGATGTTTTTTTGTGCATGCCTTTGAATATGAAACATTCTTTTATTGAGTATCTTTAGTGAAAGAAGGTCGTCGTTAATAAATTCATAAGATACAGTGATCATGCGTGTAAGTAAAACATTACAGATAGATTCTAATAAACTTATTTGCTTTTTTTTATTATGCAGAGACTCAATGTGTATGAATTGGAAAATGCTAATTCATCGACGCCAAACATAAGTTCTACACAGGTCAGTCAATACTTTTTTTTCTCTACTGATTTTTCAAAGTATCATGGGAAGAACTTATTCCCAATAGGCCTCATGACAAAACTGAGAAAATGTATAAATATTAAAAAAGAAGATAAAAACAAAGACAGTTGACGTGAAATCTGATGAAAATGAGTAAGAGTGAATTTCAATTATTTTTTTTTGTATAGAATGAAGTGCAACCATCGAATATTCAGGCGAACATAGACAATATACCATCTATCCCATCAATCTTTGCTTCAAGGTCGGTATTTTTACATAGTAATACTGCTTCTGATCATCTTGTTGGTATATTTTAACAGATATGATGGAAAAGAAAAGATGAAAAAAAGAAAGAGACTCATAAAGATGCTTCTAATTACTTTGGGAATCTGCTTTGGTTTAGGTATTGCAGCCGCAGCTATCGCGGTACCTATACAAGTTATAAACAGCCGAGGTAGTAATTCAGATGCATCGGCAACAATAGTTGGTAAGTAGTAGGAAAATAGAGGTGTGATCTATTACTATCCAAACGTAGGGTGTGGGTGCGAATGAGAATACAAAAAAAAACTAATCAAAAAATCTGTTTCAGAATCGATTATAATCATACGATTCTAACCATTAACTTCCTCATCAATAATCACCGAGAACTGACTGCTTTTCATTATAATCGATTCGAAACTAAGTAAACTACGATGATAATCGAAAACATAAAAACTAATCGATTATATAATGATTTTTCGGTGATTATCACTATATACATAAATGATTGAAATCGTATAATTATAATCGATTCAAAATCAGATTTTTTGCGATTATTAAGCAAAATATTCTATATGGGAAATACTTCCTGCAGGTGATTTACATCACAAATAACTATTGCGATTATTTGTAGGCTCACCGACAGTTTTACCAGTAACATCAACAACAACAACAACATTAGCAACGGCAACATCGACCATATCAACAATGACAACAGGAACCACATCAACTAAAACGACAGCGACAACGTCCACTACATCAACCACTTCTACTACAACAACAACAGAAACAACATCCACTACATCAACAACCTCTACAACACCGACGACAACGACGGAAACAACGTCTGCTACATCAACAACCTCTACAACAACGACAGAAACAACATCGACCACCTCTACTACAACGACGGAAACAACATCGACTACATCAACCACTTCTACTACAACGACAGATACAACATCGACCACAGCAACGACAACAACAGAAACAACGTCTACTACATCAATAACCTCTACAACATCGACGACAACGACGGAAACAACATCGACTACATCGACAACGGCAACTACGTCAACAACCTCTACCACATCAACTACAACCTCTTCTACAACATCATCAACAACGACGACAACAACAACAACAACACTTGGTAAGTAATAGAGAAGATTGGTTTCAGTATTGAGTCACATAAATCGTTGTTGAATTGATTAAACCTGCAAGTTGTTATTCTAAACTTTTGTTTGGTTCCAATGTTTAATAGATAAACCGTACTTTTTTGTTTTAAAGTTGTTTTGGACGAGTGTGTGACTTTTGAAACTGCTGCACAGTAAAGCCTCTCTATTGTGAGTAACATCTGGACTGGTCAAAAGTATTCCCTATAGGGAGTAGTGGTAGTATATTTTGCTGTGAGATAAAGCTAAAATCTATTTATTTTTTTACTTGTTTGTATATTTTATCCAAGTCGTTCGTAGAATGGGTATGAGTGTGGATGTCGGTAAGAGAAGAACACACCCACACTCATCCTCCATAAATTATATATGTGTTCATAAACAATATTCATTGTTCTCAAAATAGATTCATGATTATTGTGATTGAATTAGTTCTTAAAACGACGAGAAACAGAGACTGACCCATTTTGTATCCCATCCTTTTGCTTACTACTGCATGGAATCTGTACTTTTACGTAGATGCGGGTGTGAGTGACAGATGTATGAAGCATTCACACCCACAGTCTCAAGATATGCATCCATAGATAAGAAATTCTACCTAAACTATTGTCGAAAAATGCTTAACAAATTTATTTTGTTGTAGCTCTAATCAATCCACTAACTATTATTCAGTGGTTATTCGATGGAGATTTCAACGATGTATATGATACTTATAATGGAAATCTAGTCAATAATAGTAATGTTACATGGATGTCACCAGGATATACTGGATATGGAAGTAGCGTTTGCTTTTTATCTACCAATTATATGCTTGTCAATCATTACCTTAATTTCACTTCAACTAGTTTCACGATTTCTGCTTGGATATGGATTCCAGCAGGTCTCTCATTAAATGGAGATTTCTTTGTATTATTTGGCCATTGCAGCTTAAATAATCAAGATATGTGTCTGCACATTGTAATAAATAGTGGTAGAGTCTTTTTAGGTTTCTACAGTGATGATTTAACAGGAGGTACTTCACTAACATCCAATCAATGGTATCATGTTGCCTATGTCTACGATCAATCATCACTTAGACAGACTGTTTATTTGAATGGAATTGATGACGGAAGTCGAGTAGCCGGTGGTTCCTATAAAGGTACTGCAAGTACACTGACTGTTGGAGCCATACCATCATTTGGTACAGGAGTTACTACTAATAATGGTTTTATTGATAAATTGACGTTTGTATCACGTGTTAAAACTTCTGCTGAACTTCTTGACGAAGCCACTCTTGTTGCTTATTATCCATTCGATAATTCGTATACTGATCTCGGACCCAATCAATTCATTAATAGTACTACTGTCTCAACTATGTTTGACTCATCTGGCCGATTTAATCAAGCCTTATTGATCAATTCAACAAATTCATCGTACTTTCAAACAACAAGTTTCTATTATCTTGGTCAAACGAAGTATCCATATTCATTCTCGTTGTGGATTTATCCATTCGTCAATAATGGTACTATCCTTCAGGTAAAATTCATCTAGACATAACCATCATATCTAATCTATCTTGATTAATTAGGTCAGCTCTTCAAATGGTTGGTGTGTACCAATGATTGGTTTTGATATTTCTGGTCGTCTAACAATCCAAACAATGGGTAGTAATGGTATTTATGCTGCTTCATTAACTTCAGAAATATTACCATTAAATCAATGGACTAATGTGATTATGACTTATTCAACTATCAATGGTATTCAATTGTTTATTAATGGAACATTCATGGTTGGTAATAATACTGTTACAAGCTACTCGGCTAGTGGTCAAATAACTACAATTACTATTGGAACTTGTCTTTCTTCAAGTACATGTGCTGTTAATACAACAATAATTATTCTATCACAATTTCGAGGAAAGATTGATGAATTAAAGATCTTTTCTCGTGAATTGTCATTAAGTGACATTGGTCAACTAGCTCAAGGTCAGTATTTCCAATTGAGACATTAATAAAAACTTATACAATATAGAGAAAGTCATTCGTAAATGTGACTTTTTTTATAGAGTATGTCACTGTTTGTAACACTTATTAAAAGACATATTCAAACATGCGTTCACTTAACAATAGAAAACAGTAAAATGAGATATATTTCCTCTTATTACTATCAAAAGAGACTTTTCTTCTGAAGAAATCTCAGTAGACTAGAGTCTGAATATATGAATCAATGATAATATTATCAATTATTGTTTAGTAACAACCTTATATACATTTGGTCCATCCAATCTTTGGCAATTTGATAACAACGCCTTAGATAATATATCAAATCTCAATGGAGTAGGTGTCAATTCACCTAGTTATGTAGCACCTGGAATCACTGGCAGTGGATATGCTTTAAATCTCAATAAAACCAATAATCAATACGTAACAATAGCAGCCAATCAAATATTCGCTAATACTAGTTTTACAGTGGAAATGTGGATTTATCCTACTTCATTAAGCGATATTTTTTATGGACTCTTCTCTCAACATGAAGCCTCGGCAACTGATCGTCTACTACATTTGATACTTCGTTATCAACTTCTTTACATGGGTTTTTATAGTGATGATCTTCAGGGTACAACCGCAGTATCAACAACGAACACTTGGTATTATGTAGCTTTCGTCTACGACTATCGATCACGAACACAAATTGTATATTTGAACGGATATCAAGATGGTCTTCGTACCCCGGCTGGACCATTTTTAGGAATCTCTGGTGCAATAACTATTGGAACATTTTTTGATTCTGCTAATATAATTCAACCTTTCAATGGGTAAGAAAAAATGATTCAGTTACCCATTCTCTATCAATTAATTCCTTAAGCTTAAAAACTTGAAAAGAAACAGAGATTATCATTTGATTTTTAGTCCACATATTACTCTTATACTTTCAGTTACATTGATCAAGTTTCACTGACCATGCGAGCTAAAAGTGCTAGCGAAATACTTGATGATGCTACTTTCACTACATGGCATTCGTTTGATATTATACCATTACAGGACTCTGGTCCACTTGGACTCATTACAATAACTAATGATGTTACTTTAATAGCTGAAAGAGTGAATCAAGTATTAAATTTCAACTCAACTTCATCTTATTATCAGGTATGTCGTTGACTTTATTTAACTTTTCATCATCTGATCAGCGCTCATGAGAAGACTTTATATAAAAATAACTGAAAAATGATGAAAACAACAATAAAATCATTGAACCTATAATATTTATTTAGATACAAAGTTTTGTTCTTCTTGGAACCTCAAACCATGCATATTCTATTGCGTTGTGGGTTAAACGAACATCAACAGGTGGTGGAACTGTTGTTCATCTTTCAACTCAGACAAATGGACAAGGATGGTGCGTTACTCTATTAGGATTTCGCTCTACTGGTGAAATAGTAGCCACTAATTGGGCCTCTTCAGGGCAGGAAGTAGTGGGTCCCGTTCTATCCATCAACGTCTGGACTCATGTCGCTAGTACTTACTCAACCATAAATGGAATGAGATTTTATATAAATGGAATATATAATGGTACTACAGGTGCTATGTCCTATATTGCTGCACAACAAGCAGTTATTTTGACATTAGGAAATCCGATGGCGGGTGGCTCCGGCAATTCATCATCAATTGCTACAAGTGTTTATTCTGGTTCTCTCGATGAATTTCGTGTTTATTCTCGAGAGCTGAGTGCTACGGACGTTTATACACTTGCTAATCCTTAGAAAAAATCTATAAAAAAGATTCTATTTTCTCTATAATATATGTACAATATTTACATAAGAATCACGTTATATCTCTAATTAAAAGGACCAACTAACCAAAGGTTTGCTTTGACGTTTTTTGTATTGTGAAAATGTTTTTCTTAAAAATAAATTTGAGTGTGAGTGTGTGAGATTGAATATTGTATTTATTGCACAAAAGGGAACTACGAAGTAATAATCATGAAACAAATGATGATAATATTATCGCTGTTCACTCGACGAACTTGCCAGATGATTAGTATCAGTTAATAATTGTTCAAATTCAATTTCAGATAAAACTTTTTATACGCACTTTATTGTTGTAGTTTATACAAGGCTCTCAAGTCACGTAAAAAACAGAAAAAATAAACTTGAGTCGTGGACTATGACTGAAAACTTGATAATGCTAATCTGAAATCAAAAGTTAGAAGACCAATATACTGTTTCATATTCCATGTTGAGAAAGATGTGAAACATATTCAATATCAAGCGACTCAAAAGAAACAACTTTTTCTACTGTCAAATACTTTACCGATCAAAGCAGTACTGCTTTAAGAATTTGTAAACTGAATGACGCATTTGTTCTCTCACCATTCAACCGACTAATTGTTAAAGACAATCATCGCACATTTCACCTGCCAGATTCTGTAAATATAAAATGCATTCAATATCAATATCAGCATCAAGTTTCAATCGTATTTTTTTCTATAAAAAGTATTACTCTCGTCTCACTATCAGTGTATAGCACTTGCCGAAGTAACTAGCATATAAGTTGTCACAATTCACATAGTCTAATTTACAAACGTTTCTAATAAACCAGTAAAGTAATATAAAAAGGAAAAAAGTTTTTTTAATTTTTAATTTTACTGTCATTGTCTTTCTTTCTACATAATGTTTTTTTCTTCTCTCGCGATCTTCTCTTGAGGGTGTGGGTTTGGAGCACGGTAAGACATGCATACTATCCACACCGAACCACATCCACACCCACCCTGGTTAATCAAAATTCTCGAATTGAATTCAATTTTAAAGAAAAACAATCAAAAAAAAATTTCTTTGTTTCTTTCTTGAAAATTTATTTTGTTTTTTATTTTAAAAAGGTTATTTTTTTTTTTTCAAAATCAAAATTCCATTCAGAAGAGTATTTCGAATTTTTGAATTCGATGATTTCCCCGATCAACAACATAAAGATTTCCTTCACCATCAAAAGATAGTCTACGAGGACTATGTAACTGATTTGATTGAATTCCTTCACCATTTCCACCAACAACTACTTCACCTTGCTCTTTTCCTTCACACCAACGCATTATTCGATGATTCCCTGCATCTGCCACATAGATTTGACCCAAATCATCAACAATTACTCCTGCAGGATAAGACAATTGATTGAGATTTCTTCCTTGACCATTTCCTCCAGCCACAATTATTCCTTCTTTCGCATCTTTTCTCCATTTCATCACACGATGATTCTCCCAATCTGATACATAAACAGATTGATCTTCATCAACAAAGATAAAAGTAGGATCATTGAGTTGATTAAGTTGATTTCCTTTTCCATTTCCACCTACCACTACAATTCCTTCATTGTTGTAATCTCCCATCTTCCATCGTCTCACTGCATTCTTTGCATCATCAGAAACATAGAGAAATTCATGTTTATCTATTGCCAAACCATAACAGTCTATATTGTTAATGAGAATTTGTTTATTTTGATTCAACCATTGAATCAATCGTCTGTTCTTATAATCGGTAATGATGATTGAATGATTGTGTTGATCAACAATCACATCTATTGGTCGGTCTAGTTGATCCATTGGATTTCCTTCCCCATTTCCACCTACAATAATTTGTCCTTCCTTTGCATTATATTTCCATTCAACAATACGATGATTCCGAGTATCAGCAATGAAAATATTTTTGTTTTTATCAATAAAGATTCCAATAGGGCCTTGGAGTTGATTTAATTCTTCTCCGTATCCATTTCCACCAGCCACAGTGATGGCATTTTGTTTCCATTTATTGAGTTTTGATACTACAAAATGATGAAAAAAAAGATCTTAATGAAAAGAAGAAGAAAATTTTGTTTTTAATCGAAGAAAAAGAGAAAATTAATTTTGAACGAAATGTTCATAAAGATGTTTAATGAAAAATCAAATATGGGTGTGGGTGTGAATGATTCTTCTAGTACACTCACATCTCAAAATTCCCAAAAATAGAACACAATTACTCTGTTATGGAAATAGTACTTCTCATTCCGTAACAGATTTCTTCTGTATTTAATTATTAATTTTCTTTGAACGACCATAAAATTTCATATATCTCTAGATAAAATGTAGATGCGTGAGTGAGCTACAAATTTGGAACTGAAGTGTGGAGCTTATTTTCTTTTTGAATCCAAGGAATATGTCAATTCTTATTTTTTTTTATAACAAAACATTACCATTCTTTGTTGTTGTGTAAGAGTTAGTCAACATTGTAAGCATTGTTGTTTTTGTTGTTGACGCTGTAATCATTGTTGTTCCTGTTGTCGATATATCAATTTTAGCTGTAGTTGTATTAATTGTTGTTTCGGACTTTTTGATGAAAATAGCCCATATTGTAATACTAATGATAGTTATTAGGCTAAGAATAACAATGATAGTTAAAATCAGTATTGCTTTCCGATGAAATAAAGATCTAAAATCATAGATATATTTTGCATAAATAAATCAAATACTTACGATCCTGTTTCTTGACGGGTAGATCGTCTAATATTGTTTTTATTCTCTGATTCCGACTAAATATTACAAAAAAAATATTCATTTAGAATTCTTAAAACAGTGTTGATTGTTCTTGTAAGTAACCATCGAATCTATTCAATTTGGTAATCTTTTCCCGAAAAATAATAAAGAAAATTTAATCTCTTTCAGAATTATTTTATTTCGGGAACGAATATTTCATCCATTTTTAAAGTTTATTTCATGTCGAATAGAGATAAGAATATGTTTAACAGTTCCTTGTAATCTTGTGTGAAAATTCTCAGAAAAAGAAGCGAAATAAAAAAAACAACGAGTAATTTGATCTTGATTCTATACATATATTTATGTCTCTATAAATTAACATTCAACTTGAATCAATTATTTTTATGTAGAATATTTTAGTTTGGGATGAGATTAAAAATAATGCAACAATTTATGATGATTTTTTTCTTATAGATGAGAATATATTTGTTGCAAAAATAATTTGTTAGTAAAAAGTATTAGTGAACGTGAAATGTATTGATATTATTTAAAGTTTGTTTCATGCAAAGAAAAAATATCTATTATTTATTTCTATTTGTTGAGAAAAGATGTCTTTCGTTGTTCTTAACGGAAAAACACTCAAAAATCTCTTCTTGCACATCTGTCTTGTATACAATGAAAATAATTCTTTCAGATCCTTCTTTTTAACGAAGAATTTCTTAAAAAAACGAATTAATTTATTTTAAGGGTGTGAGTATGGGTGTGAGTGTGAGTAAGGGTACGAGATTCATTCCGCGCCCACACCTAGTTACAACGTCAACATGGCTTAGTGCGCAAAGGGCCCTCTCCTTTCTACCCTCAGAACTTCAATGCTTTCTTTTGGATTGTATTTTACGAAACGGATATTACAAGGACAACATTTACTATCCATAGAATTAACCGTTCTCTTGATCTTTCTAAAATAGCTGTTGCATTTGTAACTTTTTCTAATAAACTCATGCACATAAGACATCTAGTTTTCTGTCTAAAACTCATATAAAGCAGAACTACAGGTGCTAGCGTTGTATTAAGATAATGTAGTGCCGCTAGTGAGCCAGCACCTCTAAACACAATACCACTTACTTTGTATTCTGGTGATGCATCATATGCAGTCGCTCGTTTTGCAGCCAACTCTATATCTTCTTGTTCGTCTGTGTCAATAAGAGGTTTTTTATATTCCATGTTTTGTTAATGAGGTTTAGGCAACTTTCCAAGTGTTGGCTGTGATGGTACTTTAGTTTTTACTTTTTTCCTGGTGATGTTGATTATAGTTCTGAAAAGGTGAAATAAATTAAATAGAAATATTAGAAGTACACTACTGATGAAAAAATTGTTAGTTTATTTCTCATAAAAACGGTAATTATATTATAGAAATCGTGCGATACAGTTACTCTCATCTGAATTTGTGAAAAGAAAACATCCTGAAGTTATCACTATTAGATCAATTTAACTAAAGAATTCTTTCGGCCTGAGTCACAAATATGAATACGCTTTTAAAATGCTTCATTTTGAACACTCAAAAGTAAGAGTACCACTAACTGTAACTGCACTTAGAATCGGAAAGTCATTTAGGGCATAACAATTCTTGCGCAAAGAAAATAAGTTTTTAACTGGAAATATTTTTTCTGCTAAAACTGAATGTGGGTGTTGCTGTTGCAAAAATACGCATAACCGCATCTACTCACATCCAACCTTAAACATTATCAGACCTGTGGAGAATAGTGATACTTGATCGTGCTTTAGCTGATTTATCTAAGTATGAATGGAACCTTAATTTAGCAAAGACCTCAAAGTTTATAGAATATTTTATCAACAACTTCTTTGTAGGATAATTGACAGCCATAATTCAAATGATCCTTTCAAACGCGATTCAAATCTTCAATATTTTGAAACTTTTCCTTTGACTCTTATGACATAATTCCCATACCTTTGATTGTATATTGCTATGTCGTCTTTGTTTTGAAAAAAA